AATAATTTAATTTCACTTCTCAAGTGTTCATCCTTTCTTTAATTTTTTTTTTTTTTTTCATTATAAAATTATTAATAAAAAAAAATAAAAAAAAAATTTACATTTTTTTTTTATGTAAAAACTGGAAAAAGTGGAAGAAGAAAAAGAATAAAAAAAGAAAAACTGGAAGACGTTTCACTAATGAGAATCATCTTCAAAAACGAAAGGAAATTTTTCTTTTTTTTTTTTTAATTAATCTTATTTAATTTATATTGCGTTACGCGTGCGTAAATAAAACAAAAATTTTTCTTTTTCTTCTGCCACGATAAAAAAAAAGCGATTGCTAAAATTTATAAAATGGTAATTTGTCTGTTTGAAACCATGGGAACCGATGAAAGAGAAATTATCGGAAAAAAGGATTTGAAAAATGATTAAAAAAGTGAAAATCGGAAATGGTTTTAATAAGACTATGAAAGGATCGGGAGGTAATCGTTTTTGGGGGGAGGGAGTGTGGGGGGAGATGTTAAATTAAGAAAACCCTTTTTTAACTTATTAATTAATTAATTAATTTTTGTTTATTATATTTATTAACTTTTTAATTTATACCGGAAGGTAAAAATACTGTTTCCAAAAAATTAAAAAAATGAAAAACTTTTCATCAAAATGGAAAAAAAAACCGTTAAATTATAATTTACTTCCGGTAAAATAATAAAACGTAAAAGTTTAGACGCCATTTTTTTTTTCGTAACGAGAGATTTAAATCCTTCCTCCATGTTTTTTTTTTTTTAATGGTTAATTCCAGTCGTCGAATTTTTTTTTTTTTTTGTTAAATAAAAACTTTCTTTTGGAAAAAAAAAAATTATGTAATTACGATGAGAAAAACGTTTGGAATAAAACCGGAAGAAGAAGAACAAGAAGGGAGAGAGGGGAGAGAGGGAAAATGGAAAAAACAGATTTTTTTTTTTCAAATTCCCTGGAACGCCTGGATGGAAGACGGGGAAGGGGAGAAGGATTTAATTCGGATTTATTATTATTATTATTTCACTTTATTTTCATCACATCATCATCGTCATCTTTTTTAATTTTTACCACTAACACCCCCGTTTCTCATTTCCGTTTTTCCTTTTTTTTACTTCCGGCAGCATTTACTACCGTACGCCCACGTACGTCATTTTTTTTTTAAACTCCACCGCCATTTTTTATTAAATTATTTTTAATTTTAAAATTGAACGTTTTTTTCCTCTCTCTCTCTCTCTGTCTCTCTCTCTTTCCCTGTCCCCTCCTCTCTCTCTCTCTCCTTTTTTTTATATGTTAAATTGAATTATTTAATTCCAACGAATTATCTCGAACGTTACTGCTTAGAATTTTCCTGCTTTTTTTTACATCCTTCCATACTTTATTAAAATAATAATAATACTAATAATAATAATAATAATAATATTAGGAAAAAGGTTTTTATTTTATTTTTTTTTTTTTTTGTTATTTAATCACGCGTTTAGTGGTTTTTGTAATTTTTAACCTGAAAAAGGTCACGCTGTTGCTTTTTAACCTTTTTTCTCCCTCCCGTCTGTTATTTTTTTTGTTCTTCCTCCTTCCCCCCTCCCCTTCCTTCATCCCTTTTTTTTCGGTTTTTTATTTTTCTATACCGCAGACTATAAATTTTACATGTATGTATGTATATATATATATTATTTATGATTTTACAAAGTAAACGGTTTTTTTGTTGTTGTTGTTGTTTGTGACGTCATTACATAAATTACAAAAAAAAAAAAAAACATTTTGGAATGATTTGAATATGTAAAATATGAAATGGATCGTCGGGAAAATTTTTCTCCCGGATTATTATTATTATTATTATTATTTTACAATTTCCGGGATTATATCTTTTGAAATTTACGCTAAAAACTAAAAAATTCATTTCCTTCCTTTTGTGTTGTTTGTTTTCTTAAAAAAAAAAAAAAAAAAAGGAAGTGAGGATGAGGATGAGGAGGAAAACGTGTTTTGACGTTTGTTTCTTTTGTTTGTTGCCCTTTTCGCGGATTAAATAAACGTTAGACGATGACGTCATTAAATTGAGGTTCCTTATACCGCGAATTTCTGATATGACGGATTAAAACTTTCTCTCCCTCTCTCTCTCTCTCTCGGAATGAAAATGTCAGAGTAGGCGGTGGTTCGGGAAGGCGGGGGAGGAGGTGACGTCGGCGAGGAGAAGGGGAAAGGTGAGGGGGATGGGAAGAATGAATACGATTGGCTTAAATACGTCACATTAAATTTATTTTGATGGATTTTATATGAAAAAAAAAAAAAAAAAAAATAAGCTTACGAGATTTATTTTTCATTAAATTTTTTCCCGTCTCCCCTTCCCTCCCCTCTCCTTCTTTCTTTCTTTCTTTCTCGAGAAGAACAGAGAACATTCCAGACGTCGAGAAAGAAAAAAAATTAAAAAATAGTAATAATAATAATAATAATAATTTTTTTTTTTTATGAGAGAGAAAGAAAAAGAGAAACAAAAAAAAAAGAAGAGAAGAGAGAGGGGGGGGGGAAAGAGAAGAAAAATTTCACTTTAGTTTTATTATTATTATTATTATTGTAAGTAAACCGGAAATGGTTTTTTTTTTTTGAAAAAAAATTAATAATTAAAAAAAAAAAAAAGAAAAAAAATTATCTTGAGATTTTTTTTTTTTTTTTTTTAAAAAAATAAGTTTTAATTATAAATTTCTAGTAAGGGAGAGAGAAAGAGAGAGAGAGAGGGGGGGAGGGGAAAAGTTTACCTGGAGAAAAAATTTATAAATACCAGTTAAGAAAAATAATAATAATAATGATAAGAACGGGGAAAAAAAGAGAGATAAAAAGAGAAAATTTTTTTTTCCTTCTTCTTCTTCTGCTATAAATATTAATGGGTTAAGTAAAGGAAAAGGAAAAGGAAAAAAAGAAAAAAAAAGGGAAAAAAAGGGAAAATTTTACCGGTTAAAGTTTAAAAACATTTAAGTAAAAAAAAAAAAAAATTCGTTATAAGGTTCGTAGTACAATCGATACCTTTTAAATAACCTTTTTTTCGATTCCTTTTTTATAAAAAAAAAAACTTTTTTGAATTCATTTCTCTTTCAGGAAAAGTTTTGTAAAAAGTTTTCTTTTTTTATTCTCCTTCTCTCTCTCTCTCAAGTTTATTTTTACATAAATTTTATCTTTTTCATTTAATTTCTTTTTCTTCTTACACGTCAAAAAATATTTACCTTGAGTATTTATATAAACTTAAAAAATTTTATTTCGCGTTTGTTTTAAAAATTCATCAGTCAAAACATTTTTTTTTTTTGGTCGTAACGGCAAAATCATATTTTATTCTAGTTACACGATGATTTTATACTAAAATAAATATTTTTTTGTTTGTTCGTTTGTTCGTTTGTCGAATCCGATCATCAATCATTATGTATAAAAAAAAAAAAAAAAATTTTTTTTGAGACAAAAAAAAGTAAAAAAAAAAAATAGAAAAGAGATGGAAAAGTCTAGAAAGTTTTTATCATTATTATTATTATTATTTATTTTTCCTTTTTTAGTATTAAAATAAATTCCCACGTGGGAAAACTCGGTTTTCCGGTTCAAATAATTTTTCCATTTTTTTTAAGTAAGTAATCAATATATTTACGTATTCGAAAGGTAAAAAACAAAATGGCCGACTACTGATGGATGTTTTTGAAAAGAGAAAAAAAAAAAAAAATTCGCGTGAAAATTTATTTATTTTGAAATGAATGAATTAGAATTTTCTAGAAACATTTTCCTTCGACTCTCAATTCTATAATAAACCCAATCATTATTATTATTATTATTCAACCGTTTTTTATTATACCTGGAGGGTTATTTTCATACAAAAAAAATAAAATTTCACGTTTAAATTTTATTATTAAATAAAAAAAGATAAAATAGAGAGAACAAAGAGAAAGAGAGAGAGAGAGAGAGTGTGAGAGAGATAAAATAAGTGATCAATTTTAAATGAACCATAAACACTGATTACTAAAATTTTTAAAATTATTACATTTCGGTCGCCATTTTTAATTTCTTCCCCCCCTCCCCCATTAGTAGTTCTTTTTAATTGGTTTACCTTTCATCTCTCAAATATTATTATTATTATTTCTTTATGTTCATTATCGTCTGACCCGGTAGGTAGATATAGACATATAAAAATAATAAACGTTTTTATTCCATTGAGAGAAAAAATTTTTATTCTTAATGATAATAATAATAATAATAATAATAATATGCAAAAATAATGATAATGACGTCATGACGAAATAATAAAAAATAAATTTCCGGTTTTTCTTTTTTTTTCCAGAGAATAATAATAATAATTGTTATTATTATTGATGGAATAAATTAAAAACCTGAAACTTCAAAATGCTAATAGTAATAATAATGATAATGATAATAATGATGATAATGATAATGATGTTGATGATAACATTTTAGTGGTTGAGAATTTAAATCGTTTCGTCTCGTTTTGTTTATTTTTTATTTTTTTAATAAAAGAGTCGTTCAAAAAGTATCGGAAAATTTCGTTTTTAAAAATAAAATGATAATAATAATAATTAATCGGTGATTTTAAATCGTTATCATCAAATTGATTTGCTATCAGTAAAACATTAACGTTTTTTTTTTATACGAATCTCAAATTGAATGAATTTTTTCGGAAACAACGCGAGTAAATTTCTTTTTCTCTCCCCTCTCCTCCCCCTCTCCCTTCCGCCCGTCGAGTTAATTTTGAAAAACCTTTTTGATAAGTGATAAACAGTAAAAAAAAAAAAGGTCGAAAAGGTTCAAAAACAAAAAGAGAAAGAGAGAGTGAGAGAAAATGAATCCGTCGATTAATTTAAAATAAAAAATTTTCCCCTTTTTTTTTCTCGATTAAATGACATAATCAATCAAATGTTAAACATGTATCAATACGTTCTTTTTATATTTTTTTTTTTCCAGGTTTTAATTTTTTTTCAAAGGAAAGGAAAAATTTTTGAAATTTTTTTTTTTCCAAAATGCCTGTCGGTGGACGAGTTGCTGGAAAAATAGGATACATTTCAAATTCTTCGAGCGGTTCGTGTTTTTTACTCTTTAGGTATATTAAACATTATCATTATTATTATTAATTTTGTTTTTTATTTAAAGATCGAAGTTACACGGGTATAAACGAAGAAATAATATGGACGTGCATTGGCATGTCCATAGCCATAGCCGTACTCATAACTATGGCTCTTTGTTATATAGCACGTGAAAAATGCAGGAAGAGAAATGAATATTATATAAATGCTTGAAAGTCACCTATACAGGTACAATTTTACTTAATTGCGACAATTAAATATAATACTAAAAAAGATTTTATTTTATTACCAAATGAATTTCTTTTACGTCAGTACCGTCGCCGGTAAAATTTAAAATAAACAGAAGACATTTTGTACATATACATGTATTCCATATTATTTCGCGTGAGTGTATATATAATAAATATTTTGTGTTTATAGTAAATTCCAAGGGATATACTTCTATATATAGTCTATAATGTTATAGTTTGAAAATTATTAATTATTATTATTATTAATTAATAATTATTTTTTTTATTATGGTCTAAAAGGTGTATAAAAAAAAATTGTACAAAATTTTTTTTAAAAAAAGTGAAAAGCGAGCTTAATTTTTTTTTTTTTTAATACTATAAAAATATAGCACGTCTATAAATTGTTAATGTATTATGATGATGATAACGATAATAATAATGATAAGAAATGGTTTTTTTTCCCCGGTTAAATAAATGTAATAAAATTATTTTATTTGTGTTTTTTTATTAAAATTGCAATGAAAACAAACAAAAAAAATTTTTTAAAACTAATATAAAGTTTTTTATTTATTGTAATGAGAAAAAGAGAGAGAGATAGAGAGAGAGGGAAAGAAAGTGGGAGTGAGAGGGAGAGGAAGAGGGAGAAAGAGAAGGAGACAGATAGGAGAGAGATAAAGAAAAAGAGGATGTGTGAGATAGAGAAAAAGGGGGTGAGAAGGAGAAAACGTGGGAGTGGCAGAGAGAGATAGAAAGTGGGAGAGAGAGGGAGAGAAAGTGGGGGAGAGGAAGGGGAAAATAAAGAGGTAATGAAAAAGGAAGTGAGAGGAATTAAGAGATAAAGAGAGGAAACAGGGGAAGTTAGGGGGAGAAAAAGTGGGCGTGAAAGAGGGAGAGAAAGGGAGTGAGTGGGAGTCAAAGTGGGAGTGAGAAAGAGAGGGAGAGGGGGGGAAGTGAGAGAGTGAGAAAGAGAGTAATTAAAAACTGACACAACTTCCTGACACACACACACGCGCACACACACACTCATAGACAAACTCACGCGAAAAAAAAAATTTTTTTTTTTTGTTTTTTTTTCTCTTCGCATTTTCACAGCCTGAAAAATTATTTACGACGACATTTTATTATTATTATTATTATTATCATTTTAAAAAATGATTTATCGACGATGTATGTATACAAACATGACAAATTAAGTTGACGATAATAATAATAATAACAGTTTTTTTTTTAATCGGTGATTTAGTGCGTTGTCCATCAAAATAAATTGAATTTTAGATTTAATGTTAATAACTTTTTATTTATTTATTTATTTTTTGAAAAAATTTTTACGATTTTTTTTTTATTGTTTTATTTTTTCCAGATGTTTCTTTTTTTTTCATTCGTGTACAAAAAATAAAATTTACAAAAAAAAACTTTTGATAGTAAGAAAGTAAAAAAAAAAGAAAAAATTTTGAAAAAATATTTTTTTATTGTATTTTTCCGTTTTTTTTTTTTTTATTTTCAAATTTAAACTGGAAAATAATAAAATATATATATATATATATATATAAAACCTGGATACTTCTCTAGTCGTACATATATATATATGACTGGAGAAAATATAATAAAAGTTTCAAAAAAAAAAAAAAACTTAAAACAATTTATTTATTTGACACAGACAACAAAAAAAAAAATCCACCAACGACCACGTTCGATCTTTCTCTTTCTCTCTCTCTCTCTCTCTCGTGTACGTTAAGTGCGGATGTGCGTGTGGTGCGCGTGTTTATTTTTTTAAACAAATTTTGTCAAAGGAAAATCTCACGTTGTTAGTCTTATTTTTATCGCAAATTTTTTTCCTTTGTTTAGTACAAAAAAAAAAACTTTATTATTACTCATTAAATAATTTTTTTTTTTTACTCGACAGGTAAATAAATAAATTAATAATTTAGAATGTCAATAAATAAAGTTATTATTATTATTATTATCATTAGTATTACGTATTAAGATTCGCTGTAATTATTGGACCAAATATTAGATTTTTAACTTTTTTTTTATCTTTTATCTTTTTTATTTTTTCTATTTAATAAATTTAGTTAATTAATTAATTAATTATTAATAAATAATTTAAATAAATAAGATAATTTTAATAAATGTCGTTGTATAATAAATAATTTTTGTTAATAAATATAAATTTAAATAAAAAAAAAGCGACCAAATATTTTATTAAATTATAGTTACGTAATAAATAATTAAAAATAATAATAATTTAAATTAATTAATTATGTAAATTTTATTTTAACTTTTGTAAATGTATAGACGAATATGAAATTTAAGTTTATTTATGTAAAAAATAATAATTTTTATTTATTTATTTAATTTTGTTTTTTCTTGTCATGTATTATTATTATTATTATTATTTTAATAAGAGTTTTAAAATTGTAAATAAATAAATAAATAAGTTTTTGATTATAATGTCATTATTAATGTCAACGTAAATTATTTAATGATGATAATAATAATAAATTTTGTAACTTTTAATAGCTCTATAAATAACTTACATAGGTGAGTATTTATTTTTATTATTTAAATAAATAAAAATGGCATCGATTGTTTTATATGCAATTTTAAATGTTTTTAAGTACGGCAAAATGCATAACTTTAAAAAATCAAGGGGCATAAAAAGGAAAAAAATTTACTTTTAAGAGATTTTTTTTTTTTTTTTTTTTTAAAGGAAAAAAGTAATAATAATAATAATAAAAGGGATGATGATGATGATGGAAAAACCTTTCTTTAAAATACAATAAAAGGCATTAATGTTGTAAAAAAAAAAAAAGAAGAATGGATTTAGTTCTTTTAAAATAAATTTACCGTGTCGTCATCATATATTTTCATCGAAAAAAAAAAAAATGTATAATTTTTGGTCCATTCATCATTTTTTTTTCTTCTCCTCCATCGTGTCTATCATCTCTTTTAAAATATGAATAAATTTCATTCATCATTTTATGTATTTATTTATTTTATAAAAAAAAAATCACAAATTCATCGATTTTTAAAAAGTATTTTATTGTTATTTATAAAAAAAGAAAGAAAGAGAAAAAATTTTTGAATATGTCAGCAGTTTAAGGTAGTAGCAGTAACGATTTTATTTTCTATTTAAATTTATTTATTTATATTTTAAAATGTCGAATATATAAAATTTGAAACGTGAGAGAGAGAAAAAAAACAAATACGAATTTGAAAAAATGTATCGCACATACATTTTATTTAAAAAGGAGAAATTTATGACGTTTGCATTTGGTATTACATAAATTATTCTTCTTATTAATCCGGTCCCCCCTATCCTCACCTCCACCCTCACACCCACTATTAATCTATGTTAATCCTTTAAAAATCATTTTAATTACCGTCGACAAAAAATTTTTTACATGTTTTTATTTACGAATTTCCCACCATTTTTTTTTTTTTTAAATGTTTTTCACAGCTTAACAAAGTTGATTTAATTAAAGTGAGTTTTGTCAGGTGTTTACTTTCTTTCTTTTTTTTTTTTTAAATTTTCATTTTTCGTAAAAATCTGTTTTTGTTGTTGTGATGTGTAGGCGTTTGTACGTGGAAAACATTTTCGTCAAAAAAAAAAAAAGTTTTATATTTCATGAAATTTTAAACTATAAATAAAGGAAAGCATGGGAATAACAAAGAGGGAAAAAAAAATTTTTTTAAAATTATTTAAGTAAAATTATTTTTTTTTTGACCTTTTGACCTTTTTTTTTGTGTTTACATTTATTTATTCGTGTAAACAATAAAAATATATACCCTTGTGATAATTATTGTTTAAATATTAACCTGTTTTATAAGAAAATTTGTTTGTTTGTTTTTGTTCTTTTACGTTGTTAACGTTTTAATAAAGGTAAGGAAAAGAGAAAAAAGAAATTTTTTCTTACTTTTAAAAATTTTAATTAATGTATAAAATGTATATAACCTTTTAAAAATTTAAACAATAATTAGTCCGTTATTAAAAACTGAATAAGTAAGTAATAATTAAAAACTTTTTACGGATTTTTTTTTTTTTATAAAAAAAGTTAAATTACTTTACTTTTAAGTTACCTTTCTTGTAAATAATTAAATACAAAACAAACAAAAAGAATTTTAATTAATAAGTTTACGTGTAAATAACGTCATCTATTGTTTAAATTTTGAATTAAAAATTTTAAAAAAAAGTGTATTTAAAAAGTTGTAGATGACAGTGCTTAACTTTAAAAAAAAAAAATTCTGTTTTTTTTTTGTTAACCCAGGAGAAATGCATTTCGCTCTAACCTCCCCACACCGGTAGCAGGGAGAGTGTGGGACTCAGCCGAGGCCACTACCCAACTAAAACTCCTGGATGTGCTTCCCTGCACTTTTTTCTTCTCAGAGAGGAGGAGCCGTCGCAGGAGTATGACCCGCATTTCAGCCTCAACCTCCCCTCCAAAGCCTTGAGTGCCGGAATCATCAGATCCGCACTCGCGATGGTGGGAGCGAATCCCCCTACGGCGTAGCCGCCGCAGAGATCCGCTCCACCCAATTGTGATACCCCCACCAATACAATACACAAATACATACATAAAATTACATTATTACAATAACCACGTTAGACGGAAACCTTTCCAAATATCTCTTTCCGCCCGGTTTCACTCTTTGCAATATTTGCAACCCTATTAAATATGTTGATTCAAAAAAAATTCACTCATTCATTCATTCATCACATTCGCACTTTCTTTGTCGCCGCTTACCCGATTGCAGGCGGCGGATCCCGAGTATCTCACGCTGACGTTCACGGTTCTCTTTCCTTCGGAAAACCGTTTCCGCGAAGCGCGAGATCACGGACCACTCCCTGAGACCGCAAAGGAGACCCTCCACCAGTCCCCCGATAGTCAGATCCCCCTTAATAACCTGAACGAGGCGTCGCTTGTCATCGGCCCACCTCGGACACTCCTAAAGCGTGTGACCGACATCGTCCTCAAGCGCAAC